AGAGGCTGAAGTAATAGATTTGTATTCCAATTAAGGGAGAGCATAAAGAAAAGTGTTTCTGAAAATTATGTCAGAATTTTCTTACCTTGATAAAGACACTAGTTTATTTTCATTTATCACATTGCCTGTTCTGTTTCCATAAAAAATATATATATATATATATATATACACACACACACACATACACGTTTACATATATATATATTTGGCCTCATTTTGTTAAGGTGTGGTTAGTCTGATCTAATAAGATTCTTATAGCTGAAGTTGGTATGTTGAGTTGAGAAGTGTGTATGTGGGTACATATATACACGGTCCACACAGTATACATACAGCATTTGAATATGCTATTTTCCTATCTGGTTTCAGTGAAAATACGCTGTGTTTAATACCAAAAGACTAGTGTTAGCATCAGAAACCTGGAGCACTAAATTACCAGTATTGATTGCATACATCTCAGTTCTGCTAGATCAGACATATGATAAAGATAGATGAGGTATCTCAAGGTTAATAATAAAAAATATTATATGCGGGAGGAAAAAAGGCAGTGCAAGCTTGTCACTGATACCTAGAAAGCTGAAGTCTGTTGTGCGGTGCCTGAGCATTTTGCTACTCTCTTTAGTACATTAATCATAACACTTGAGAAGATTATCCAAGACATGTTGAAAGTATAAGCATATGTTAGTAAGTATTTCACACAATTATAATATACTAAAAACTAACAGGTATGAAATAACTGTGTAGCAGTGTTGTATATTACTCACAGATGTTTCTAGGTATACTTCTGCAAAATATTTTTAGTGATATATTTGACTGTGACAACAGACCAGTCACTCAGTTTTAAAGCCATGTACCAAGTGGCTGCCGTGGCTACCCTGGAGACTTGAGACTTCTGCTCACGTGATTTCCTTAAATCCGTGGACTTCTGGATTGGTGAAAGAGTTTAGGAGGAGTCACCCATTTGCTAGGTGCAGGAGGTTTTTTTTTTTTCTCATTTATAATTAAGGTTATTTGCATTTTTAAAAACCACAGTGTATATTCGTATGTTCCATTAGCTGTGAATGTATTATTTTTTCTTGAGAGTCAAAATTCACAGTTCATCTCTCTGAATACTTACCTTCCCTCCTAAACTGAATTAACTTTGTCATAGAGTTAAGGGGTTTAAAAAGTAAACTGTGTTGTGGGGGAAGTGGGTCTGTTTTTCATAAACTTGCACTGGAATGTTTAAGATCATAAAGACTTGGGCACTTCTTAAAGGTCAAAAATATCTGAGGAAAAAGAATAAGGTGAAAATATACAGCATTCTTTCTTTTGCTTAATAGTTGTTTATAAAAGTGATGATACGGGCTTGCTTTCTTATGTGATGACCTTTAATTCACCTGACTTGATAGAGGCAGATAAATACAGAATTATTGCTGCCAATATTTGTCCCTGGTTTGGTATAGTTCTGCATAGGTGTAGAGTAGGTGAACGTAAATGCCACCTTATCAATGAGGGTTTCACTGGCCCACTTTTACAATATTAAAAACCCCTCTAACATTCTTTCCAGTTTTATTTTTCACCCAACACTTTTACCTTCTGATTTATTATACATTTACTTGTTTACTTTTCCTCCTCTATTTCTATACACTAGAATATAAATTCCACAAAGGCAAAGTTTTTTAAAACTTTATTTTATTTCTTCATCACCAGGAACTTGAACAGTGCCTGTCACATAAATAAATGCTTAGACATGACACTACAATGTCAGAATATAATACAAATGTTTAGATATGATACCATAATACAAGAATAATGTATATAATGTAAACTGTTAAAACTGAGAATCCTGTTGGTTTTGGAAAAGTGAATTACTCACTTGTGGTAAATTACCTCGTGGTATATTATGTAGAGTAGAAGTAAATACATTGCAATGTAAAAATTCTAAACCCAATGACTGACTTTAAGAGACATCGTTCTCATAGTCTCATTTTGCTCTAGCAGTTCCAGATTGATTTTGAATGACCGTTCTTTGTCTTTTCTCCTTGCTTCTATACAAAATCAGATACCAGCCATTGACTCACTCATTTTTCTGAAGGCCTACTGTAATTTAATTTTTTGCTTATACCATTTTTCTTACCAGAAAAGTTAATATACCCCCAGATTTATCAGTTCTCTTATTTGTCTTCAGTGTTTCTTTGGAATTCCACCACTCTTGACTAATGCAGCATACTCTCTTTCTTTAAAAAGTGATGGAAGCAGTCATTTGACACTTTCCTGGGACGTTTATCTAAACTACATTTTAAAGCTTTAAATATCTAGTCTTTACTGTGTAAAGGTGCAAAACTGGCACAGTTCTAGTCAGATAAATTTCTTGATGCTTTCTAAGATGGAAAGAAAGAATTGCTTTATCATGTTGGAAAGTTAAGAAAAGGCCCTTTAAACTATCTGATAACTGTAACAACAGCTGTTACCAGAGCAACATATAAGTAAACAAAGCACTGTCCACCGTGTGAAAGAGAATCTTTACTGAGTAATAGTCTGGTCTTGTGGCTTTTTTTTAAAGTACTGCTAATTATCTCAAGTTATATTGTATTCTCATCTTATATATATAATACATATAAGTATACATACATTTTGTATATTATATATGTATATGAATGGTAAAGTTTTTATATTTGCCCAAGATTAAGGAGTAGAGTGACCTATTCTTAATCTGTCTTCTTTACTGTGAACCATATAGTAAAAAGAAATACATATATTATTTTACTAAGTGGCCTGCATAATTGTGTGTGCATACATTTTGTTGTCAGTTCCTAGGATCACAGCATTTTAAGTTAGGAGAGATCTCTTCATCCATCTCCCTTGTTTTCAGATGAGGAAACTGGAACACAAAAAGCTTAGTTTGTCCAATGACTACTTGATGACATCCAGCTTTCCCCCAGGTGTTAGGCTCTCTTTCCCAACTACTTAGAATAGCATTCTTTGTTTCTCTCAAGATTAGGTGAATAATACTGCAGAATCACTCCCTTTTTCATATTAAGAGTTAGAACTCTGAAGACCATTATAGCAAAATGGCATGTATCTTTGTGGATTTATTTTTTAAATTTTGTTTCTTTCAGGCATGACACTATTTTGAAATTTGTTTTAAGTTCATAGTTTTCAAAGGATTATGTTAATTTTTAGGAATAAATTCATGAAAATAGTTATATCAATCCCAAAATAGATTTTGGAATTCAGAATTATTGGAAGAACTCTTTTAAGAATCACAAAACTGTCAAGCTAATACTATAGATTTTCCATGATTTCCAGGATCTATTTGTTTGTAATATTCCAGGCCCACTATTGCACATTTTCCCTGAGTTCATATGTACCTGATCTTTTTCTTGTAGTATTAAGTCTTTGTTGTTGTTGTTTGCATTCCCCAAAAGCATTCATTTGTGTAATGAATTAAGAATCTCCTTTCTTCAAATAATTTTGAAAACCCACATATTAGCTCTGTTAACTGATCCTGTGTCTGGAGACTACATGGCTAGCTAAGACTGCTCCTGGGGTAATAGAAAAATTGAAGACTGTACACAGAGCATCTCTTCTGTCCCCACCTGAATATATAAACAAAAGAGAGTAAAAGCTTTCAAAGCCATGACTAATGCACTCACTTTAAATGCTAGTTGTTTAGTTGAGTTTCAGTACCTTCAAGGTGAAAACTAAAAGAATAGTTTCTGTTGTAGCTGAGTTGTTTGAGTTTCTTATCTGAAACAAATTTTTTCCTTAAGTAGTTCTCACCTGCACTTTGAGAAAGGCCTGAATTATCTGATGAAAGACAGTATTTTACTGTTGCCCACGTGGTTGACATCTACGCAAACTAATTAAGAAGGCTATCCCCCACCCTGAAAAAGGATTGATAGTCTACCTGAATGAAATAATAAAACACTGGCAGTTCACTTGGGGGATCCTGACCTTTGGAAATACCATGCTTTGTTTTTAAAAGAAAGGGAAAAATAAGTAAATAAAATGAGTATTATTTAGTTGGGGAGAGAAGAAGGATGCAAATCACATTCTTGTTTTGAATGTGTCCTTGTAGCTATAATTACTTATGTTAGCTAATGGTTTTATTCCTTTATTATAGAATCATAAATATTTTATTTTCTGAAACAAGAAGTTGTAATGATGCCTTGTACCTTAATGTCAAAAAAAAAAAGTTAAGTAGCCCTGACATATTGAAGAGAAAACAAAGACAAAAGAAATATGATCTGTGCCTTAAATTAATTTTAATCAAATGATGGAGTGAAATTATAATGGATGACAGCATAGGTTAAAAAGAAATATGGCTTGGAATAAAGTCTTTCAAAAATGGCTGTATATTCTCTGCCTACACAGGAGATATGATGGTGATAATTTTGTATTTCTCTTCATTCTCATTAAATTGATGACTTGGAGAGGATAGAGAAAATTTGAGTTTCTACTCTTATTTAGCTTGATTCAGGACTGTCCTCAAAAGGATTTATTTGCTTATTTTATTGTTGTTAAGCTTTGATTTTTTTTTTCTTTTATTCCAGACCAGAATATGGGCAATATTTAGTGTACAGAAACTATTTTGTCGTTGGTATTGCTTTGTTACTTTTGACGTCTTTCTTAAATTATTTAGTTTAAAAGAGCACAGATTTTAAGTATACAGTTCAATGAATTATCATAGGTAATAATCAAAGTTATTTGATAATTTTTTAAATGGTAATTTTTTACTCTCAAAATGAAGGATAAACCGTTTAGGCAAAATTTAAATAAAAATAGTAATTTTATATAAAAATGTCTGGGATTTTAAAAATCTTTGTCAACAGGTATCTCAAAATCATGATTGAAATATAGTTTTTGGTTCATAGTTTCAAAATGTTATCCATCATTTCTGGCATTAAATCTTTTTAAATGGCGCAAGTAATCCTGAATTCTGAATCTCACAGAAAGAAAAATTAAAAGTAAAGCACTACAGTATGTAAAAAGTAAAAGGTGAAAATCATCCTCCTGTGTAATTCTAACAAATCTTTCTCTTCAGAGCCACCACTTATTACAGTTCAGTGTATAACTTCCTGCACCTTTTCTCATGCATATACCTTTACAGCAATTTATTTTACTTGTTTTTTTTTACATAATTAGAGTTCTACCTTATAATATGTTCTATAACTTGCCAATTCACTCAGTCTGTCTTGGAAAACGTTGTATGGCATTACATTATAGATAAACTTAATTATTTTTCATTGCTGTAACTTCTTTAATGGTCCTCCTAATGATAGATACTTGTTTCTGGTTTTTTGCTACTATAAAAAATTTCTGTCCTTGAACATGTATCTTTGTGAACTACTCAGTAAGTTCCTTACTGACTAGTAGTTTCCCTGTATTCTAGATGTTACTGTGTTGATTATATGTAGCAGATATTTTCTCCCTATGTACTTATCTTGGTGGATCTGTCATATTAATGTTTTAAGTAATTATGTAGTCAAGTCTGTTGATCTTTTCCTTTGTCATCTGTTTTGTGGATTCTGTATTTCTAAATTATTTATATTAATTTCCACAGAGTTATTTTCATTTTTAACTGTCACTTGTAAAACACTTCCTTTTTATAGAATCCTGTGAATGATGGCAGAATATTAGTATGTGATACAGGCTGATAACATGCAATAATCACATAATGATCAGTGACAATTTTGATGATCAATTTTGGAGTTGTAAAATAAATGTAATAAATTCTGGAAAAGCATTGGAGTTTTTGTGTTATTTATGGCATCACCATAGGTAGTCCTCACTACTAAATTTATTTTTGACTTAACGTGCTAGGCACTGTACGGTAACAGTAGTACACAAGTAAGAAATAACCCCTTTTATTGTGACTCCTTTAGACACAGTTGCTTCCTCAGTTATATCTGCTACATATAATCAATTTCTGTAACTTTAGTGTAGCTGCTGCTGCTAGGTATTTCTCTTCACTTTTGCTGTCATCCAGTGCCAGCTCTAACAAATATACTAAACTCTTAGCAAAGCAGGGTCTGAAAAGTAAGAAAGATCAGTCTTGATTATCTTATCCAGAATTTTGCAGTTAAAATTTTAAAAGATGTTTTAGTGTATGGAGGGGGGTGGCACGTGTGCACATATGTGTAGGGTTGCACACTATACATAGAGTACAGAGTCAGAACCCGAAATAACTTTTTCACTGTTTGAGGTCTCCAATTTGACTGTGTAGCTTTTTCTACCTTGATACCCCATAACTTGGGCTCTTGAAACTTGAGCTAATTTTGTCCTGCCTCCAGTAACTTCCTGTGGAAGTAGCTTATAATTTTTCTGTTTCTTCCCTATAAAAAGAGGGAATACCCTTATAGGAAGTTCCTTGAAGCCAATATCTCCTAGACCCTGTCAACAGCTCACTTCTACTCTCTACCCTCCCTCCTTACCTGATTGATAGATTTTGAAAAAATTGTAACTTTGCTGCTGCCCCTCCTCCCCCTTCTTAGTAGGGGTGATTCATGACAGAGAGGAATCCCGTATTCTAGATGGAGTAATATCCCATTGGGAAAAAAATGGTGAAGGAAAAAGAAAGGTTTTTTGCTTTTTTGAAAAGACGAGAACTTTTATAGCTCTGCAGATCTGGACAAGTCTGACAATAATTCAACTACATTATAGTTTAACCAGATTTCTTGAGTGCATCTGCTAACCTAACCACCACATATACCTATTTATAACTTGAAAATTGCCTTTAAAACCACAAAAGCACAAAGCACTGTAGTGCTTGTAACACTCTTCCATATTATTGTAGGTAACTAAATGACCATGGAATCTGGAGCAGAGAACCAGCAGAGTGGAGATGCAGCTGTAACAGAAGCTGAAAACCAGCAAATGACAGTGCAAGCCCAGCCACAGATTGCCACATTAGCCCAGGTATAAAATACATGGAGAGAGTCCAAGTTGTGTCTCTTCTAAGAGGAATATGTTTTAGACAAGAGAACTTAGTTTTTCTTACAGAGATATACATAGAATGAGCAGAGACATTTTTAGAAAATCAGAATTCCTAATTATTTAATATTAGCCTAATCTCAGAAATGACAGTATTAATTCAATAACATAAAAGAAAAATGTATTGTTAAACACCAACACACTATAGTGACATGATTCATAAATACATTTAAACTGATGGGTAGATTGTCTCTTAAACAAGGGAAGACAATCTAATGTGATAACTGCTTTTTTTTCACATGTAGATTAATTGGGAGCATGGGAATGCAGATAATCTGAAAGGCTAAGTTTATATATGCTTAAACTAAAAAAATAGGATAAGCAAATAAATTGACACACAGGTAAATTTCAAGTATGATAGTTTTGTTCCCTATATATTTTAAGTATAATTTATGATTTTGTCTTTGTCTTAAATATTCTAAGATTATATTCTCTTATCCTTTTTTGTTCTTATGTATTTTTCCTCAAATGTTCTACTTTAATAACAATTGTTTGCATATATATGATGAGAAAGGTGGTTAATATAAAAACCAAATAGCAAACAGTAACCTGCTAGGTAAGAAAGTGGGATATCGCCTCTTTCAGATGAAACTCCCAAGAGAAAATAATCCTGGCTGAGGCTCTGGGATGTCAAACTTCAGCTCCCCGAAGAGTTTTAAAGCTCCCCTTGAGGAGTCACTGAGCAAGAATGCATCTTGGGAAATAGTGGGCTAACCACAGATGGTTACCACACTGAGCTAACATATGGGCCAAATACTAGACCCCCAGCAGGAACATAGTCAGAAGCAGTGAGCTGTTCTGTGTTTTCTCCTAAGATCACCAGGGTCCCCTCCAGCCTTGAGGCGTAAGGCAAAGCAGAATACATTTAGGGATGAAGTAAATGTACTCAGATGAAGCAGGTGCAGGAACAAAGGGGAGACTTCATTAGCACATGGTCAAGGCAAATGTGCACATAAGAATCTGGGCTCATCCAAGCATTCGCCCCTCTGGTAAAAAGAAGATACAATGCCAGCAGGGATCTTGGTGATGGCATCCCTGACATATCTACCTCATAGGTCTCTATTCTTCTGGATGTCCTCCAAGTCTGCTATATAATGTCATCCTGGAAATTCCTTTCTTCCTGCTGTCTTTCTCTCTTAAGAGTTTTTGTTCTTGATATATTAAAGCATGTTTTCCAGTGGTTTCTTGAGCGAGTTTGACGGGGTAAAGAATTCTTGGTAAAGAAATAATTTTTCTTTCAAATTTTGAAGGTGTTGATCCAGTGTCAACTTGTAGTGTTGCTATTTGAAAGACTAAATCCATTTCTTTGTACCTCTGTTAGCTTATAAAAATCTCTCTGTTTATAGTGCTTCACTATTTCATTATCAAGGCCTTGGTTTGGATCAGTTTTCATCCATTGTGCAGTTGTTTTCAGTGGGCCCTTTTATAATGGAAACTCATGTCTTCAATTCTGGGCAATTTCTTTAAGTTATTTGGTTGATGATTTTTTTTTCTCCTCTCCTTTCTCTTTTCTTTCTAGGATCCTTGTGATCCAGATGTTTGTCTAATTTTCTCATTTCTACTCTTCTGGTTTCTGTCTCTTTGTCTTTTTGCTCTGCTTTCTGGGAGATTTCCTCAACTTCATATTTCAGCCCATCTGTCAGATTTTTTATTTCTGCTATCACATTTCCAAGAGTTCCTTTTGTTCTCTGATTGGTCCTCTTGTGTTTTAATAGTGTTCTGTTTATGTTTCACAAATGCAATATTTTCTCTCATCTCTGAGAATATTGATTTTGTTTTAAGTTTTCACTGCCCCACATAGATTTTCCTCTATATGCCTTTACCCTCTTCCATCTCTTTTGCTCCAGCTTTCTTAGAAGCTTTCCTCAAATGTTTGACAGCTTGTGGTTGTCTGCTCAGGCTTAAAAGTAGAGGACCAAAAACCTGCATTGAAAGCTCTGTGGACATGTTTGAGGCCTAACATCTATGAGTTGTGAGCTTCACTTTAGGGTGATTGTGGCATTCCCAATGTTATTATCTCTTAAGTCTTTCCTCTTCCCCTTGGTGTTGATTAGGTTCCCTAGAGAAAAGCTTTACTAATCCCCTGAGCCAAGTGAGAGGAGATAGATGACTGGGGTTTATTACCCCACCTCAGCAATGGCTGATGGTAGGCAGTCAAGAAACCCTCTATCCAGATAGTAAACCTCCGTTTTTCTGTCAGCATTGGGTAGATTAGTTGTTCTTCCACAGGGAGTTGAGGAGGGGTTCCAATTGTTTCTCAAAGAGCCTTCAACCAGCCTTCCTTATTTTCAGCCTTTTCTTTCACTCTACCTTCCAGTGCCTTAGATCATGAGTCTCTTAAGGATTTTGTGGCATAAATGAGGCTTTCCCTGCCTCCATCTTATAATTCTGAGGTCTTCCAAACTCATTACCATTCATCCATCTGTTTCCAGCCTCCAAAACTCTTGCTGTTATCTCCTTTCCCATTCTTCAATACTGGTGTGATTATGCCTGTAAAAACAAAATCAGTTTCATGAAGCTTAATTGGAGATTCAGGAAGGAACAAAATTATATGCACATGTTCAATTTGCATATAATCACTGATAAGTAGAATGACATGATATTTCAGTTTAGAAAATCTGATTATCTGTTCCCATTTGTATTTTTTGTTGTTGTTCTTTTTATACCTAATTACACAGGTTTTTTTCAACTGCTCATCCAAGTTCTTAACACGTGTATTAATACATCTTTGACATAATTTCCTCATAATTCTGATACCTTTTATTTTTTTGTTGTCAGTCTTTAATACTAGAAATACATAATAAAGTTATCAAATCCAAGATCATTGTGATTTGGTCAAAGAACAGTAAAAAAAAATTCAGCCTAACTAATAAAGGAAGAAAGACAATCTAAAACAATAAATGAAATGCCTTATTTTACTTGTGGAGTTTACAGAGATTTTTTTAAAGTGAGAAAAGAAACAGTGTTGGTTTTGACTATGAGATTGTTAATTTTTATGTATGGATTTAACTAAAGAGTTGAGTAAAAGAATGATTGTTGTAAAATCCCTTATAATAGGCAAATCTGAAAACCTAAATACCAATAATAAGGAATTTATTAAATTTTGTAGTTTCTACCATTATACAGCCATTAAAACCATTAAAGAAGACTATTAATGGCATGAAGAGGTATTTATAATGGCTTTGAAAGATAAAATAGATGCCATGATAGTGTTATAAAAATTGAGTGTATATAAGTTTAAAAACACCTATTTATCTACAGCAAAAAAACTAAGTGGTTAGCTCTGAGTGATAGGAATATAAGTGATTTTTATCTTTTTTTCTGTATCTGTATATTATAAACTTACAGTGAGAGGCACCATTGTGTAGAATGATGAGGGTAGAAAGGGGATTATTTGTTGAGTTACCTTGTTATGTTTACCCTAGAGAATACTCAGAGAAAAGTACAAAATAATTGCTTCAAGTATTAGAAAACCTTTCATATGGAATTGAGATGAGATACTCTGAATAACTTACGGTTGTGATCCTCAAATTTTATAGTGTAGTTAGACAGAGACTCTGTATAACTAATGGAGGTAGTTCATGGACCACATTTTGAGAACCAGGTAAAACTAAACAATAGTTATAGTGGCCAGAGAAAAAATGATTGATAAGGAAGGACTTCTTAACTGTACAAAGATAGAAGCTCATGGTTTAAGCCTCTACCTTCAGTAGGGATCTTTCCCACCAATAAGCTTCTCCTTGTGTTCTCTGTTTCTGTGGCATATTCTACCATTTCTCACCCAAACGTGAAATTTGTTGGTCACCTTTGATTTCTCTCTCACCACCTTCAACTAGTCATTCATAAAGCCCTTTCTAGTCTGCCTCCTGAATTTTCATTTGAAATCACTTCTCTCGTTCCCATCCCTACCACAATTAGTGCCTTATTTCTGGCCTTTATCATCTCAGCTTAACTAGGATGTATAGACTTTCTCAGGGAGTCTCACCTCCACTTTTTTCTTCCTCTGAAATACTTATCTTTCACACTGCCACTAAAATAATCTATCCAAAATGCAAGCCTCACCATGATATTCGGGAGTTCAAAAGCCCTCAGTGCTTTTCCCAATCTCCTCACCATAAAAGGCAAGTTCTTTACTAAAACATACATAAGACTTTTCAAGACTAGCCCACCTAGCCCCTGCCTACCACTGTCATTTCATCTCTCTACACCTCTGCATCATACAGTGACACAGCTGTGTGCTCCAGTAGTACTGACTGCTGGTCATCCGTCTCTGTACACTGCTGTTTCTCTTTCCTTTTGCTGGTGCTATGCTCTCTGTCTGAAATTCTGTGTCTCCCCCTGCAAGTCACAGTAATATGCCTTACTTGCACTCTTTGTTTCCAATTCACATTCTTCCCTGGTAGCCTCCCCTCCCCTCAGTGTGTCCATTTTTCTCTTCACAAACCTCATTACTTCATTGAATTATATTTGTTCTTTTCCCTAGTCCTTCATACCATGCCCCAATAATTTCCGTAGGGGCAAGGACCTATGTCTTTCTCATTTCTGTAGTTTCAGTTCTGACATTGTTTTTGGCATACATATCCCCAATAACTGTTTACCAAATTCGCAAATAACATTGCTACCCCTGAACACATTTGAGCACAGAAACAATAAATACCATCTAATAGACATGTGCAACCTAAGAGTGCTTTTAGCCTGGTATTGACTGGTAAAAGGCTTTCTTGGGGTGGGGGGGCATAGCTTAGTGGTAGAGTGTGTGCTTAGCGTGCATGAGGTCCTGGGTTCAATCCCCAGTATGGCCATTAAATAAATAAACCTAATTCTCCCCCTCCCCCGCAAAAAATATTTTAAAAAAGGCTTTCTTTGTGCCTGAAGAGAAAATTGGTTTCCATGTTCTCTCAACTCTTGCTCTTTTATTTTTTTAAGAAATAAAATAAATCCTTAAAATATCAACTATTACCAGTTCAGTGATGGAGAAGATAGAAATGTTCAGTTTATCATAGCTAGTAACACTTTCTCACTAATGAGAGGCATACTTGTAATTAGTTTACAAGAGAAAAATATGCATTATAGTATAAGCTCTATATTTGTTGTAGACTTGGTAGCTAAGTTTTGCCCAAGTTTGGGAGCAGTTATGTTTTTAGAACATGGCTTATTTAACACATGATATTCTGAAGACTTTGTTTCTTCAAATCTCTTGACCTTGGGTGAGTTAATCTCTTTAAGCGCTTGATATTTCTGTCTCTAAAATGGAGATAACCCTTATTCTGACCTAGTCTTGATATCTACAAAGGGCAAAATGAGAAACTGAATATGAAAGCAAGTAGGAAAATGTAAAGCACCATACAAATAAAGTGATAGTTGGTGTTCAGAGGAAGTCTGTGTTACATATTTTGGTGTTAACATTAAAATAGTGTTTTGGTTTTTGTCATTTGGGAGGAGTTTAAAAGTGGAGGGCAGGGGAGGTATTTGTAGTTTTTTATTCAGAAAGGATATTTAACCACTAGTTTCTTTCACACCAGTGGAATAACTAACCCAGCAGAAAGGTCATCCTTTTACTGCTACAAAGTTGCTTCATATTGACCACGAGTATTTCCAAGGAGGTGTCTGTGATGGTAATTGTTTTCCATGTTCAACACCATAGGTATCCATGCCAGCAGCTCACGCAACATCATCTGCTCCCACCGTAACTTTAGTACAGCTGCCCAATGGGCAGACAGTTCAAGTCCATGGAGTTATTCAGGCGGCCCAGCCATCAGTTATTCAGTCTCCACAAGTCCAGACAGTTCAGGTATGTGTATAAAAAGTTCTGCATCTACTTTCATAACTGTTGTTTATAGCCATCTCTCCTTTCATTATGAAAATAGGAACATATCTAGTTCAGAGTTTATTTTACTTTACCGTAATTATGGAATATGCTGCATCTGTATAGTCAGCTTAAGTATAGGAACATATATACACAAGAACAGATATATAAGAAAAAGACTGTCTTAAAGAAGAAAAAGAATTGATTGGGAAAAATCAAAGTACATGGGATAAAGTGGAAATGTTTGGGAGAGACTGTAAGACTGCTGTACCTCAGTTAAGGAAAATTGAGTTATAAAAATAATAACTTTGTAGTTATTTTCTAAACATACAATTGGAAAAAGTAAACCCTTGTCAAAAATTAATAACCTTACCTAAGATATTATTTGAATTTAGAGAACACAAAGTGTAAACCCAGCATTTTTTATGATTCTAAGTTAGCATATATAAATTTGAAATAATGATATATTCAGAAAGTGTACCTTAAGAATCAGGGATTATTCCACGCATGTTATCTTATTCTTTGGAGAGGTTGTTCCTTTGGGTTGGATCCAAAGGGAATAAAGGCATGTAAACCTCTACTTAACTGTAGGGAACCTAGGGCAATATACATCTTTGCGATGAGCTTATTGGGGAAAAAAAAAGACTTGAACGATCATTCAAGTAGGCCATAACCCCAGCCTCCCATTTCATATTTTTTGCTTCACAGTCTTCCTGTAAGGACTTAAAAAGACTTTTCTCCGGAACTCAGGTGAGTCCTAGGTCCTAGATTTGGAGAGAACTATTTTTAGAAAGGAAGGTGAGAAATTATTCTTTATATCTTTGTCCTTCTCTATAAACATTGAGTTCATAAAAATCTCAGCTATCTTCTAGGTATAGGCTAAACTTGAACCCTTAGCCTATTGCTTAATTTCCCTATATATCCTTTCTCCCCTCCTCTAAAAGGTAGTCTAGCATTACTTGAAGACTTCAGAGAAAGGAAGCTCTATCTCCTGAGGTAATTTATTTATTGTTAGGGATAATTGCTAAAATAATCTTCCCTGTGGTGAACCAGAATGTCTTTCTAAAATTTTTACCTAGTGGTCCCAGTTCTGTCCTCAGAAACTAGTTAGCAAATTTACCTCCTTTTTTTGTTGGACTGCTTCCTTTTCCCGTCTCCCATGCCCTTCTCATTAAAAAAAAAAGTGAAGACTAAATAAATGTTTTTCTTCAGTCACTTATATATGACATAGTTTTGATTCCTCTTCACCATCCTTGTCATCTTCTTGTAAGTGGGAGCTATGGTATTTTCTTTGAGTATAGTAGCCAGACTGATACTTGTAGAAGGGAGGAGTGCCTCCTTTGTCCTGGAAGCATTCTATTAATGTCATCATAGGACACATTAGATTTTGTCAGCCCTATTACACTACTGAGTCGTTGAGCTCCTGTTACCCACCTCTACTTCATTCTGCCCCTGTGCTTTTAGTTTGCATGGACATTTAAGGGAGAGGGGGGCAAAGAATGCTTTGATGTGAAATCAGTTTGTTTGAATTTCCATACTGAAAGATATTGGGAATGGAATTCGTTGTCACCAAGTGGTAGACAGTATAATCCAGGTAAAGACTGAAGGATTTGGAACCACACTGACTGAACAATAGTCTCCTATCCTCTGCCTCAGTTTTTATTTCACTGAATGCTATGAACAA